AATATCTACATTCTGTATTAGTAGGAAATAAACGGAAATTACTAACCGAAGTTTGTCTTCCATTGTCAATCCATTTTCAATCTGCAAAGACTTCAAATTTGTGTTTGCATTTGAAGCAGGAACTATTGGAATTATATTTACACCATCAATACTAGTATTAACTTTGTTATACATGTTTGAAGTTTGTGAAAGTTCTTGATCTAACTGTTGAGTTTCATGACGCATAGCGTCTACTTGTTTCAAACACACTTTGTGCTCTGTTGTTACACGACTTATCATTTCATGTACAAGATTGGAAAGAACTTCGTATTGTGCCAGACTAAAATTTGGTTCAACGCATAGTGGTAATAAAAATGGTATAATCTTTCTTGCTAATATTTCTTTACTTGCTTGTAATTTTCCATGATTTAATAACATCCTATAAATACCTGATAACAGAATAAATTATGTATTATCTGCAATTTGTTAATTTTAACTGTTTCATTTTTATTTTTCTACTATTGTATTATTACTTTAACATAATATAATACCTATGATAGCCATAAGAATTGCAGGTTCACCAGAGTGTGGAATTTCCTGTAGAATAGGCAACACTTGATCAAGAATAAGCCATCGATCAAAGTTAGGTAGCATTCTTGCAAGACATAATAAACAGTTGACTCTAACTCCAAGACTTTTACTGCTGTTTCCCTTTCCATATAAACAAATTTTTTTCATTTTAGGTAAAATTGCATTTTTAATTACTGGCTCTTCGATCATTGTTATAATATCAGGTAAAGCTGATAAACATAATACTTGCAAATGTTCCCATTCAGATTCTAAAGCACGTAACAACATTGGGACTATATCTGTTTTTATTACTTCTGCAGTACATAATTTTAATAGTAAATCAGCATGCTGCATCAAAACAAGGCTAATTTGGGGTGGATCATCTAATGTTAAAACAGGTTTAATGTTTGGTAAAATATATTCTCTAAATTCTTCCACAGAACTTGTTTCCATTGCATATATTATGCTAGGTAAAACAAAAGGAATCATTGGAGGATTGAATAATTCTTTGTATAAAGCTGGAAGGACTCTATGTAATATAACTCTGTGAGGTAATTGTTTTAAATGTTGAGGTAATCCTTTATAAAATTGTGACTTCTGTAAATTATCCCATTGGAAAATCTTGTCTAAATAATTCAAAGTTTTGACACCTATACCCATGAAGTATTCAATCTTTACAAACTGATGAGCATCTGGTCTCAATTCAGGATTATGATTTAACATTAATTTCACTGTATCTCTAAGATTCTCTGGAATTGAAAGAAGTTTAGCAGTAATAGCAGAGCTTGTGAAATTTTCTAAGAAGTGTTTACATTTCAGTAAGTCATTGTTAGATTCATGAAGAGATACATTCATTGGAGAATGTAGAATGTATGCCAATACTCCCAGAGAAAATATATCGCTGCCAGTACCAACACTACTTGCTAAAATACATTCTGGTGCTTGATAATCCAAATTTGGTTGTGTCATAATTGGAGCTGACATGTCATATTCTGTATACGACCACTGAGGTTGTTTTCCTTCAGCACTTTGATTTAAAGCACAAAAATCAAAACCAAAAATTTTCCAAGCCCCATGACTATTAATAACAATAGATTCTGGACATAAATTTCTGTGTAATAATTTAACATTTCCATGTAAAAATGCAAGGCCTTCTCCAAGTTGTAAAAGTCCATATTTTATTTCAACATAATGTAGCTTATAATCTTTTAATGCTACTGGTAATGGTTGTGGTAAATTATCATGATTTTTTAAAACATTAGCTAAACTAGCTAATACAGGTTCTGTTGCAAATGCTAAACTGTCTCGTGATTCTTCTAGAGGATGCTGAACAGTTAAAACTTGTGGATGGTGTAATTTTGTTAATTGTGCAACACCTCTTTTTAATGTTTCTAAGATTAATTCTTTATCGTTTCTTGAAAACTTATCAAGAATGCGTTTTTCAAATACAAAAATGGCTACTTCTTGTTTTGTAGATTTTTTGTAACCACTATAAATTTTCCACACTAAAGCTGGTCCTGCACTTGCTATATGTGCAATTACTTCAAATTCTCTAGTCACTGGATTACCCGGAAGAACATTTGATAATTGTGATAAACCATAAGCAGTGTTTTGAACAGTAGTGGAAATTGTATTGCTAACAGTATTTCGTAATTTTGCAAACACATCCATTTTATTTTGGAATTTGCTTTAAGTACTCATTCATCAGTATATAATGAATTTTTCTTACTCAACTGTTTTTAATAACTGCTTATTTGATAGTCTGTTTTTAATATTCCATAGCTTTCAAGATTTCTTCTGACATTTAAATTCTTCTCCATTTTACACATCTTACTGTATTTTAACAGTTGAACATATATGTTGACACATTTTGCACTAAACGAAAAACAATAATTTTAAACACTCAATAGTATCATGCACCAATATTTTTATATATTTAGTACTTATACTAAATGGTAATTTTACATATTACGTCAAATGCAATATGAAAACCTTTGACATGAAGATTCGACGTTACCTACCATATTGGTTGGTTTCTTTACTATCTTCATTTAATACTTTGATATCTACCAACCTAAAAATATGAATCTCAGGATGTAGTGCTTTTTAAAAATTTCTATTACTTTTTACATATTTTTGCATTTGTGTGCGTTACATAAATAAAATTTATGCGTTACATTAATAAATAAAATTACTTTATCCGTTATTTAAGAAATACGATTAAAAAGGAAATTTTATATTTGGGAAAATATACGAAATTATATATAAGTGTATAATTTACGGACTATTGAATAAAAAATTAGAAAGAAAATGTTAGAAACAATACAACTACAATAAATATTAATCAAAAAATGAACTACATAGCAATTATATTCACATGCTATACATGTTACAATGCGTTTCTAATTGCATATTTGAATCTAATGTTCACGATTTATATCACTACAACACTAATCAATAAGAATAGCGTTCATCATATTTAAAAACTTGATTTATAAACATAAATATACATAATGATTAAAATTAAACAATCACTCTTTACAGTATATGTAAATTTGAATTTTTCGATTATCTTTACCAATAGTTAAATATAATAAATACTATTTTATTTAACTATTTGGCAAATAACTGATGGGTTTAAATCTATTGTTTTACATTTGAATGTTGAGTACCTTATTAGCATACTACTCAAGCGAAATATTTGTATTGTCTGATCATTTTTATGTTTTCCAGTGTAATATTTTCCACTTAATGAAA